CCTGGAATGTTTTGTTTATTATAACCTTTTAGTGAAGATTTTAGTTAGACTGTTCAAAATTTTGTATTCATGCTAAGGGCTGTGTTTTCTGACAAAACTAAGTAGAGTCACGGAGTATCTAACTGCCTCAAAAACTTCTCATTCCTTTTTGACAGGGTTGGGAAACATAGCAGAGGGGAGGTTGTTTTGGGTCTTTCAAGCTTTTTTTTAAACTAAAGTTTGATATTTTCATGTTGATAAGGTCTTTTGTGACCATGCCAACACTGCATTTGGGAGGCTACAAGGATTATGATCAGCACTGATGCTTCCTTCTGCATTGCCTGTGGTAAGCCCACCACTAAACTATCTCATTTTGCTTTTGTTTTCAATAAAACAACAGTTTTCTACCTAGAGAATGAGCTCACATTCAAATTCTTGAATCAAGCTTTCTCTGCAAATTCCTAACCATGCCAAACATGGGGCCTTCAAATCTCAGAAACACTTATTCATGACAAAATGTTCATGAGCTTCTACAGAAGCTTTTAAACATGGTCAAGTTGGTCTAGAAATAAAAAGCAATCTCTATCTCACCCTTCCCTGCACCAAATTTGCATACTTTGCTGTGATCTGATACACTAGTTCTGAGAAAATAGGGTTTTTCATGTTCTGCCACTGCTGTTCTTGATAATGCCATTAGAGTCTTTTCAGTAATGCCAACAAAACCAAACCTCCTTGTGTTTAACCAGGTAAAAAAGTAGCCAGTGGTGTGCTTTGATGCTAGGTGAGACATAGCAGGATTCTGCTTGAAAAAGTTAAAAAAGACAAAACAAACCTTCTTCCAGAAACCTGATAAACACTATTCAGAAAGACGTATCTAAGGTGGAACTGATTTCCACCTGAGGATTGGATACAAAGACTCTAATTTGCCTTTTATCCTCTTTATTTCAAGCTTCCAGAATTTGGTTAACTATAACAAACTGTCTTGTTAGACACCTTATTTGATTTTCTGTATATTTTTTTAATGTCTTTGCTTTGGTTATAAAGTATGCAAGTAAAAACATGTGTTGTACATTTATATTAACCCACCATTGTCCCAGTCAGTGTAATTTACCACAAGAGAGTAGAGATAACATTAGCATCATCCTGACATTTGTCAGCTGCTTGGAACAAATATTGTTTCTTCTCAGATTCCTTACTGGCACAAGCAAGGATGCTTCAGTTTTCTCAGTAGAGAATAACGAATCAGAGTACAAAATAAACCACATTTTCTTCTGATTGAAAATCAGAAACAGATTTATTCTTTCAGATAAAATGAAAAAAATACTATTTTCCTGTTTCTACAAGGTTTCTGACTACTGAGGAATTTTGTAATCTGTTTTGACAGGACAAATACTGCTAAACAGAGATTGCATAATGAATGCAGGATGAGATTCTCAAAGTAGCCACACAAAGTAAAAAATGACCACAAAATGCCTGTAACAACTTCTATTCACCCATATGGCTATTGAATAAACTATCTCATTCAATCTATTTTGACTCTGAGATTTTAAGTACTTGTCCCACTTGTTATACCTGTTAGCCATGAGAAGTAGCAAAATTGAGAAAATCGTGGATCCACTGCCTTTCCAAGTAACAAAAATATAATTAGCAACTCAGCTGCAAACAACTGGAAAGGCTTTACTGCCCAAATGTTACTGATAGAGTCACTGAAAGCCATGAGAGATGCAAACATGGGATGGCAGCCAGGATTTGTTCTGAAAAACTTCTAATAATAGAAATGGGTAGTAAGAAGGAGGAACAAACCAACCTCGGAAGCAGAATCCACTGAAAAAGTTCAACTATTTAAACAATACTAATTCTTCAGTTCCAAGACTCATTTTGAATTCATTAACAATATATTTAAAGTAAATAAATAATTTTTCTATATAATAAGATAGTCACAGAAATACAATGTCCCATTAAGTAATTTTTTCTTTTACCTTTCAGAGTGGAATGTACTTTATGTAACTTACAGAAAAAGATCCTGTTAGTCCTTTGTTATTCACATGATTAAAACAGATGCCAAGGACATATGAAAAAGCAAACTGTGTGATTGCTAAAATGAAAAAGTGTAACAGTGAATGTATACTGTTAAAATGCTATTTTTTTGGGAGAATAAAAACAACAGGAAGTCTTTTTAAATAGTGTAGTTAGTTTTGAATGCTGAAGCAACATTCCTATTGGCTAAATTACTCTATTTTGCCATTCCATGGAAGCAGAGGTGTCTCTATTCATACACACTGCAGACTGGAGAGAACACAGTACATGATGAACAGATAGCACAATTTCAATTTTCTGTCTCTTCATGGCATCTTCAGTGAGCTGAGCATAGCTGTGAATAAAAGAGCAAAGATGGTATTTTCTTGTTTCTTGCTTTTAATTTTCATTTTACCTGGTATTTTCAAGGTTTTAAATTATTTCATTCCTGGAATCTACTTTCTTTAACAGTTCAGACTTGCTATATGTAAGGATTTCAATAATATAGCCAAAAATGTGATTTTTTTTTTGTTTGTTTCTTACTGTTTTTAAATAGGAACAAAAGCTTGTATGGATGTTCTGCCTTTGATTTACAGGCTATCATTGTTTATAAATCAGTGAAAATGAGTCAAATGCTCTTTAATCAAGATAAATGGTTTGCCTTTTTTTAATTAAACACCTCCCAAGCAGATAAAAAAATGTTTTTCATACCACTGAAAAGCTAAAAAAAATACCTTTTTATTTGATGGCAAAGCTTCCAAGTCAGTGTTTCTTAGTTTGCTCTATAAATGTTTCTCACATTCTGTCCCATAAAAGTCTCCTTTCCTATCCCACCTCCCTTAAAATTCAGCCTGTGATTTAAGCCTGTGACTCCCAAGTCCATAGAGACTCAATGACAGATTTTAAGCCTGCTTTTGTAGCAGTTACATTGCACTAGAAACAGAGGCAGACCTCTTCAAGCATGATTTGTGTGAGACACGTTAGAGTGGGCCAGTTTTCATGAAGCAGAGTATCCATGGTTTTAAAATCCAGACTATGAAGAATAATACCTTGGGTGTTAAAAAAAAAAAGAAGATATAAAAGCCCAAATTAGTTGCAGAAGCAAATGCCAACAGGTTTCTAGTCAGTACAGAAAGGGATATTTACAGGTCTTCATTGGAGTAGAAAGCACTAGTGAAAGGTAGTTTTAGACATTATTCTACATATTAATACATTTTAAAGTGATGAGTTTGCTGGTATTTGTTTCATTTTGCTCTGAGCTATCCTCAAAGCTTCAGAGACCATAAGAGATTAACAACATGTTTAATCTTTCAAAAAGATGTATATTTCAGTTTTGTCTCAGAAAAGGTAGGCCACATAGTGAAATGGATGAAAGTTCATCAACAATTTTCCAGGTGACCAGTGCAATTCATAAACAATTTTGCCCCTTAAATAAAAAAATATTACTTGATTTAATCATGTTGTTAGAAACATTAATTGCCCCTTACTGGAATGCTCTTTAAAAATCTTGAAATTTTTACTAAAATTTCTTCCATTCTCTGAAGATGATGCAATGTAAAACCTTCCACCTTTATAAGTAATATCTTCCATGTTTTTAGTGAGGTTCATGTCTTCATATCCAGAATGTGGATCTGTCTTTTTTTTCACGCTTGCTAATACCAGTCATTTTGGAAGGGGCAGATTAGCAGCTTCATACACAGGAAGCAGGACTGCAAAAACTTGTCAGGCCTTGGTGGCTGTTTGCTTTCTCCTCTCCCTTTTTCATGTATTGTTCAAATCAGACTCAACATCTCCCCCAAGGTCAACCATATAATCACATTTCTCCAGTCAAATCCCTCCTCAAGAGCTATTTCTATTGCAAAAAGTGAGTCAGCAAAATTTCCTTTATTTAAATACCTCAGAAACAGTCACTCACTTTTCATGAAATTGCGGCCAAAGGATGAGTTTCTCATCATACTTGCTCTGGAAACTTTAGACAGAAAGTGAAAGGAGGGCTATTATTAGTTGTTCCCTGAAATTTTATTTTCAAACTCAGCTGTTACAGAAGGGTTTGAGTAAGAACACAAGCTACAGAACCAGAGCCGACCCTCGTAAGAATTCAAGGTGAACTGATAAAGTGAACCTGCCTCAGTCATGGCTCTCTCTAGGCACTGTTTTTGATAGTTCTACCATATGAACTTCTACACCTGTATAAACAACTTTCACAAAAATGGGTAACACCGAAGGTGAAAAGGCCACATTGGTTATAACAGTTCAAAATGCCTCACAGAGCTTTATAAGGTTCACTCATTCATCCATCCTGAGGCAACCACGCAAATGCTTCCTTACTGCCAACGCTAAGATGTTTCTCCAAAGACAGGCTGGAGATGATAATAGAAGATACTACTTTGGATCATTAAAAAATTATTGCCAAAAAATTAGGTCTGCAGGGCATGTTCAACTAAGGTGCACCGATTTTTTTTCGTGTGAACAACCCATTGCAAAAAGAGACACTCGTATCAGGGGGAGATCAAACTGCCCGGCAGCCGCCTGCAAGCGCGGGGCATTCAGGCCAAGGTCAGGGAGGTTCTGCTGAGGCCCAGGGCCACCAGCCTCAAGCCGGGGCTCCGACCGCCATCCCAGGCACAGACTACGCTCCCGGGGCGGGCTCTGCTGCCGGCTCCCGGCCCGGGCCGAGGCGCTGGGGCCCGGGGCGGTGCGGACCCGCCACGACCGGGCCGTGACGCCGCTCGCTCCCCGGACTCCCGCGGTACTTGGGGCGGGATCGCCCACCGAGTGTCCGGGCCGAGCCCGGCGGTGCCGTCCGGTCGCGCCACGCTCGGTGCCGGCCCCGAGGGCTCTCACGCCGCGCCGCGGGGAGGTGGCGGGGGCTCGGCGGGGCGGGGGGAGGCGGTGCCAGGCGGGCGGGGCCCGGGCTCGGCGGGGCTGTTGGCAGTAGCGGTGGCCGTGGCCGGGACTGGGCGAGTTGGAGCCAGCAGCGGCGGCGGTACAGCTGCGGCGGCAGCATGGCTTCGTCGCTGGGGAAGAACGAGCTGCTCTTCGCCGACTGGATGGCAGCGCTGCCGGGCAGCCTCCACAGCACCCCGCTCACCAACCTGGCCATCCCCGGTGGGTGCTCCCGGCTGCCCGCCCCGCGGCTGCCCTGCGCCGGGAACGTGAAGCTCTCGGCGCGGTTCAGCGCTCCACGCTCTGGGGAGGCGGCGCGCCCCGGCCGTGCTGCCGCGGGGCTCCGCGGAGATCCCTTACCGCGCTGCCGCGGGGCTCCGTGCCCGTCCCTCGCCGCGCTGCCTTGCACTGCCTGTGGGAGTGGGTGGGAGCCAGCGGGGCAGGTGCGGGCAGAGGCGCCGGCGGGACGCGGCTCCGGCGGCCCCGCGCTGTGAGCGGCTGTGGGGCGGCGGGTGCGGAGTGCGCGGCTGTACCTGGTGTCGGGGAGGGAAGGGAGCCTGTTCCTGTACCGCCGGACTGGCGTAGCAGCCCAAGGACCTAAATGCCACATACTGCCCCTTTCCCCGTAAACTTGTGCGGCGAGGTCGGTCGGAGCGGGGACGGACGCAGGGCTGCGGCTGCGGGAGGGGAGGCAGGCTGCGGCACTGTGCGGCTTCGTGTCATGTCGCTGTCAGAAAACGCTCGATCTCAACACAATTCTAAATAAGATGAGGGATGGCAGGTGATGGTATTTAGACTACGAACTCTTTCCTGTCCTTCCTCAGTTTTGTGGTTTTTTTTTTTTTTTTTGGTAAGATTTTAAGTATGGTTGTAGACTTAGGCAAAATACATATTAGAATGCAAACCAGTAATTGTTTCAGATGATCTCTGTTTGAAGGAGCACCTCAAGGTTTTGCAAGACCTCTTTACCAGCATCCTTCCTCTCTAAGGTGTCTAACCAGAATGAGGTTTCAGAGATGTTGAAGCTCTAATGTCTTTTAAGCTTCTTGTGAGAAATATTCACTTCTTGCAAGTTTCGTGTAGTAGGTGCTTGTGTTACACCAGTTGTTATAGTACTAAAGATACTTTAGTACAATGTAGTAGGAGCTGATATTTGTGATGATGTGTTTTCTGTAGTGTCATTTAGACGCAGGTGTGCCCTTCTAGAATTAAATGTCTCTTAGTTTCTTATGGTTTACACAAGCTATACCTAGTATTTTACTTACTACACTGAGTGTTGCTGTTGGTTGAATATATCCTGTATAAAATTGTGTCCCTCCAAGGCTTAGGAACCCAGCATCTGCAATTGTTCCACCAAATTCTGTTGGAGCTGTAAAAATCTTCCAGTGTAATAACTTTTCATTAACCCACAAACTGTGGAATGCTCTTATGGAATATTGGCATGATGAGAAATTATTCTCTTTGGGATGCATGGTGGTTTTTCCAGTTAGATGTATTGTTTTAGAGACTTTTTCCTGGTTTGAGGAGAAATTATGAAACTTAACTTGCTTCCAGATGCAAAAAATTGCCTTTGTTATGCATCACCATTAAGTGACTTCCTTTACCGAAGGAAGCATCATGAGGCTGTTACTGGTACATCTATCTCACCAACATCTCTCTGTTACTTTCTTACTGTCCACAATTTTTTGAAGTGGACGTTTCTCAGAGCTTTCTCAGTAATAATACAAGCTTTCACACCTTGTTTAAATTAAAAACAAACAAACCAACCAATTTACGGTGGGCTGTGCTGGTTAATCCCAATATAGCATTTAACAGTGAGCAAGTTCTGCAGGCTGTAAGTGCAGAGACTGAGCCCTTACATTGGCAGAACTATTTTGTTCATGCAACAGCAATGCACACAGACTTGCTTTTTGTGAAATTAGCAGAAAAACTTACATGATTTGAGTGGCGTAGCATTAAGACCTTTGAAATTTGTCCTTCTGTTAGTGTAAATTGACATAGACTTTTTATCTGCCTGTCTCACTTTTAAAATGCCAGGTTTGGCAAATAGAGTCTTATGCGGAGGGTAACAATATAGTTCATGTGAATTTGTCAACTAGGGCGTATGGCACGCAGACTATAGGTATCAGTGTAGTTTAAGCATTATCTTTTAACAGGAGATTTATTATTATATTCAACATACAGTGTGGACATGCACAATAGTGAGGAAAAGGGCTAACACGGGATTGGTTTCATCCTTTAAGAAGAGATAACCTTTTGGACATTCTTAATATTTATATGAAAGTTTTCTCCCATATGTCTACAACTGAGCATTAATAACATGTGCATAGTAGCTGTTAGCATGTAACTAGTATTCAAGTAGTTAATGCAAGGAATGTGTGTAATCCAAAACTTCATGTGTCAAGGTAGCGTTAACTTGTGAATTTTTCACTGTTTTTGAAGTTAGTGTCGTATTCATAGCATTTTATTTACATTGTCTTTTTTTTCCCCATACCAAAAGAAGTTAACAATACATTTTTTTTTCTGTTTTTTCCAGCAGGATTTAAACTTCCCTTGTGCAGTAGGAATACTGATTTTGACCTTATTTCAGCTGGATGAAATTCAGTTCTGGAGCCAGAGTCCAACAATGCTAATGTTGAAGAAAACAAACTATTAGCTTGAAAATGTTAGAATGAATTTTCCATTACAAAGGGTGTTCCTCTGTATTACGGGGGAAGTGTTGTTTTACAAATCATCAGTACATTTCTCATTGTCTAGAAGGAGTGCTTGGAACTGAGGTGATACACTCAGTTGTCTTTGCACAGACATGCTTGTATTATTTTAGCTGTTGCAAAGAGAAGCACAAGTCCCATGATACTCTGTCATGATTGTATTTAAACTATATTGTTGAAGGAATTTTCTGTTCATAATATGTTTAAAAATTGTGCTCATACTCTTTTGTTGTTCAGTTCCTAAGCTTATGCAGGTACAAATTTATACTATTTACCACCCCTTATACATTTGTAAATAACAAATCTGTGCTGGATTTTTCTCATATTTCAGTAAGTTCTTCTACTCATTCCATTCTCCACAGTTCAAGCTGGGTCCTTTTGTTTTCCCAACTGCAGGAACCCTCTAGATGAGACAGAAATCTCTAATATAGCTTGTGCCAGCTTTGTCCATCAAAACCTTTTCTATTTTAATTTCTTCCACATATGAGGATGATGCATTTTCTATGAGGTTTTTGTCTTTGTTTGAGTTGACTATGTCTGAGTTCTCTTATGCTGCAAGTGGCAGATTTTCCTCAAGTGAAAATGGTAGCAAATAACAGTATACAATCTTTGGAAATAAAATGATCTGTTAGTTTCCAGAAAATGCCACACAAATTTAATCTTCTATTGCTATGACAATTAGAATAATGAAAGGATATATTCTTAGGACTTTGGGTCAAGGTGTACATCTTCTACTGCTTGCAGCCTGCCTCTTGTGTTAAAGGATCTGCCTGGCTGAACTCTCAACAGTTTGTCTAAGAAAAAGGTGGAGGATTGTGGATTCTGGTCTTTGGGGGAAGGGTGTCTTTCAGTAGCTGATAAAATGTGGTTTTGTCAGTGCCTGTTCTTCTTTGACCAGGATAAGAAATAGGTTTTTGGAGGCATTGCATGTTTATAGGACTGAAATCTTCATGCTCCCAAGGTGAGGCTGAAAAGTGAGGTATGGAGAGTCTGTGTATTCTGCTGTGTCAATGCACCTTCCTTAATCTGAGCTGATCATATCAGTTACATGCAGTGCAGTAAATAGACATCAGTAGGCAGCATTTGCTTATGAATTGTTCCACTTACTGATCAATAAACTTTCTCACTGACAGTCTTTAAATATGTGTCTAGTTTAATATCAGAGTCTTTGTATGAATAATTTGTGCAATCATTGTTGCGTTTTCCCCTGGTGCTACTATTCCAAGACTCTGAGAAGTCCACAACAATAATTTATGACTGAAAAGAGTATTTTCTTCCATAAGTAACTCATCCCTCCACCAAAACTTTTACTAACCCAAGATTCTGCCATATGAGCAGTCATGATGCATGCTAGGGCCATGTCTGTAAAGTGTAAAATCTTCTGAATGAATTTAAGACCCAGAATTTCCCTTGAGTGCATAACTTTTTGGAGTTGTGATTATTTAGGCTTTTGTTTCTGATTTCCTTATGCAGATGAAACCTCTGACCTCAGCATATATTCTTGTTGCTCGAAAATGCAACGTGAACAATACAATTCTCGTGAAAAGTATTTTCCCAGGACCTCTTTGGCTTCTGTTGTTTTTCAGATGGGATTTTAAATTTTTTTTATTTTGACATATAACTTTCTTTGTCCATCAATTGGAAAGCAATCGCTAGACACAGCAGAGCTAGCTTGGCTCACCTCAAATAAGAAGCAAGTTGTCAGGTGGAATTTTTTAGTACTACCCATCTTTAGAAAAAGGCTCAGAGACTTGAAATTTCTATTTCCCACTATCATCATACTTTGTAAAGAAAGAGCAAGACCTCACAGGGAGTTATTTCACAAAGAAGAGGATGTGTGTTAGTGTCAAATGGCAAAGATGTATTAGGATATTAAAGATGGTTGGGGGAGACTTGGGAGAAGAAAGTGCAACTGGAATATTTTGGCCTTTTTTGTGAACAATAGCACTGCTGTGTTAACAGGTTCTGTTTCAAATATTTTAACTTCCATTGCAATAGCTTGTAAATGTTCAAGTGATATTTTGTTTCTTGGATAGACATTCCCCATTCTCATCCCCTTGGGGAAATTCTTTCACCTTAAAAAAGTCTAGAACTTCTTCCTTTTAGTTATGTAGACACACAGCATTTTCACTGTTTAAATGTTATTAGGAAACTCTTTAATTGTGATCTTGAATAGCCAATGATTTGGATTTGACTTAAGAGTGAAGGGTGATTGTCTTTGACATGTGGGATCTGTTTCAGCCTTTTCTGTCTGCTCCCGGTCAGCAGAATACCTCTGCTTCACTTGCCTGGGTCCAATTCTGTACAAAATTAGCTTTGCCTAGAGCTCTAAACTGATGATGCAAGTCAACTTATAAATAAAACTATAATGCAAGTTGCCCATTAGCTTTTGACATGTATATGTACCTCGAAGATTTCTTTCTTTTCTGCTGTGCCTTGCAGTCAATTTTCAGTGGTTTTCTACCAGAAGTAAGTACCTTATGCTTTCTTTTTTTCTGATCAGAAAATGAG